CAGCTGCATGCCCAGCAGCAGGTGCAGGTGAGCCCTGGGTCCTCCACCCCTTCTCCTGGGGAACAGGCAGGACCAGGCATGACCTGACCAGAGGCCTGTTGCAGGCGGCCCACAGTCTCCACCGTGTGGTCCATCGCTGTGCCATGCTGTGGAAACAGAAGGTTCTGGGCCAGGGCAGGGAGCCTCAGCCCCTGACATCCACCATGCCCAGCAGGAGAGTGACATTTGACAGTCCCCTTTCCACCTGTGTTGCTGCTGGGGCTGGGGATGCCGCCCTGGAGGCCAAGAGGACACGAGATCCTCAGTCACGGGGAGCTCTGGGCAGCTTGGCCCTGGCTGCTGGAGACTCCCAACTTCTAGAGCTGTGAGTAGCCCAACCCTCACCTTGTCCTCCTTTCTTCCTGTCTGGGCAGAGGCTTGGACTGTACAGGAGGGAGGTCATGGCTGAGCTGCTTGGACCCCTCTCCAGTAGAATCCTGTCACATCCCTCCCATTCCCATTGGGTCCCAACTGACAGGACCGCATCCTCTGTTCCTGCAGAGCATGGGGGAGAGAACATGTAGTTTTAGGAAAAGGAATATAGGCTGTAGGGCAGCCCCGCCCTTGTGCCCCCAGACCTTCCAGTCTCCCTGCTTCTCCACGTACAGCTGAGAAATGGGCTCCCTCTCGGAAACCCTACTGCTTGTGACCTGGCCCATTCCTGCACACCGGCTCCAAGTGACCAGCACTACCTGAGCCTGGCAGAGAGGTTACCTGTGGTGGGGGCGAGGGGGCGGTTTTGGGTACTGGACTGGGCCTCAGTCCTCTCTGCCTCCCTTACCCCCAGCCCTGATAGGGTCTGACCATGATGAGCCTGCTCCCACTCTGATGTGGGAGGAGCACCAGGTTGTTATAGAGGTCAAGTGAGATGATGTGGGTGAGGCATCCCCACGTCGTCAGGCTCACTTCATTGGAATTACTGGAAGTACTATATGGCCCAGGATCACTTCCGGTTCACCGCTTACCTTGGGCAAGAGCCTCTCCTTCTCTGGCCCTCAGTCTCCCTGTAAGATTGGAGGGGTCAGACTGGGTGCCCCAAGCAGCCTAGAGGAACAGGCCTGTGTTTCTTCCCAGCAATGCTGCCCGCTTGGCAAGAAAGCAGCCTCGACGCCCACATTTCCTGCTGGAGCCCGTGCAGAGCCAGGGGCCCCTGGGGTGTCGCACCCTTGGGAGACCAGGGTATGTTTTATGGTCCTAGGGTGAGTGGCCCCCTTTCCCTCCTGGTCCTCAGGAGGGTACTGTGGCCTGACCACCTCCTGCCCCTCCCTCTGCGTAGGCCTGAGGCACGGTGGGAGTGTAACCCAGGTGTGACCCAGCCAGCGGGCCCTTCCCTGATGACGCCTTGCCTGCCAGAGGCCTGGACAGCACTGGTCCCAGACAGACCCCTGCCCCAGCCCAAGACCCTACCAAGTCACCCTGGCCCAAAGTTGCCCCCCACATTGAATATGGGCCCAGAACTGCTGCCCCCTTCCTCCTTCATGCCATGTGGGGTGGAAGCACCTGCCAGGGTAAGTCCTCCTGGTCACCTGGGGTCTCATTCTTTGGTCTGGCCTTCAGTGCTCTTCCTCATGTGCTCGGTGCTGTAGCCGGAGCTGTACTCACTGCTTCCAGAGCACTGCCAGCTCAGGAGGATGCAGCGAGGCCACTCATGCATTCACCAAGTATAGGTGTCCCTGTCCTAGGGACACAGTATGGAAAGGCTGCTAAGGCCCCCCTTGTGAAGCTTCTATCCTAGAGGTAGAGACCAAAGAGCCCCAGACATAGATGAAGACACTGCAGATCATGGAGGGTCCTGCAGGCCCTGGGGGAATGTCTGGATTTTAAGGAAAGTAGGAAATGGTGGGGGCCTGTTGGCTGCTGTGTTCCCGTGGCCCAGCAGAAGGTGCTGGGAGCCAAGATCAGGTGGTGGCTGTGGGCAGAGCCCATCGTGGGAGGCAGACTCGGCAGGACCTGCTCTGATGCTCCGATGGGTTTGATAAGGGTGAGGAGGGAATCCAGGATGGCTCCTGGGTTTCTGGCTTGAGTAACTCCAGGAAAAACGAGTTCTTTTACTGAAAGAGGGAAATGGGGGTAGGGAGCCCATTTGGGGTAAAGCCTGAAGAGTTTATCTTAAACCTGTCAAATCTGAGATAAAGCAACAAGATTCTGGGTGTGGTCAGGGCTGGAGAGCAAAACTCAGTCCACATATGGTGAAGGTAAACCCTTGGGACCTAAAGAGGTCACCTGGGAGGAAAGGGGCAGAGGCTCCTGAGGGCATGTGACATACAAGTGAAGAGTCTGGGCAGGGATGGCCAGGTGGTAGAGAAGGTCCCAGTGCTTGGTAACAGAGGAGACGGCAGCAGGGTTGGGACACCCCCAGAGTTGGTGCCCGAAGAGAGCTGGTCAGTTGTCACCAGAAAGGAACGGAAGGTGTGGGGTTTGACGAGGATAGTTGCCTTTGACCACTTTTCTCCCTGAAGCGCAGGATCGCCGCTCAGAGTGAGGGGAGGGTAAAACGGCTGCTTGGGGAGGTAAAGAGCCAGGCTCTGGGGAAGGAGCGGGACTGGCCTGCATAGGTGTGGAGTGTTCCTTGAGCTGCTTGTGGGACATCCTCCTATCAGGTCCTGAAGAAAGGGGCAGAGCCAGGGCCAGACTAGGTGAGCTGGCTAGGTCAAGTCCTGTGGCTTCACCTCCCCATACCCCTGCAGTGGGTAGCCTGGGTGCCCCTCCCCAGCCTTCCTTCCTGCTCATCTGTCCTCCCTTTACAGGCATCTACACAGCCCATCACCCCTGGGCTTGTGCCCCAGGCCTCTCCATCTGCAGCCAGTGTCCCCCACCCCCACCTGCTGCTTCCTGGGGACTTCACAGGCACTGGGCCCGGGCCAGGCTCTGCAGGCACAGGTGTGTGCCTAAGGCCTGTCCACACTGTGAGCGCTCAGGCCCCTGCCCGGAATCCCTCCATCCAGCCGTGGCGTAGCCGGGAGGGTGACCAAGATCAAGCTTATTCTCCTGTTACCATGGGCCATACTGACCTGGAGGCCGAGCTTGAGGGCATCCAGCAGCAACTGCAGGACTACCAGACCATGAAGCAGAACCTCTCGTAAGACCCAGAAAAACCCCAGCCGTGTCCCCAGAACTGGCTGCCAGGTTCCTTGGGGTGTTTTGCCTGTGCCCACCCCCCACACGTGGCACCTTTGTCCCTCAGTCCAGCTCAGGTCTGCCTCACCTGTGGGACAGAGGATAAAGGGGAGCAAAACTTTCCACCTAAGTCAAGTGCGAGGCCAGCGGTCCAGTGACTGTGCACGATGAAGGTGCAGAAAAGACAGGCCTGTGCACAGGGGGCTGTCCTGTCTTGTCTGTGATCCAGGTCCAGAGCCTGTCTCCCCCCACACCCAGGAACAGGGACGGGAAGGAGTTCCACCAGGGCCCACCTGAGTTGCCTGAGCTGGTGGTGGAAGCTGACAGAGGAACAGAACCCTCCCTGCCCCAACCAGAAGTAGCAGATGTGCTGCTTCCCTAGCTGGAGGCACTGCCAAGGGCCTGGCCGGGCTGGCAGCAGATGTCTCACTCCCTCAGGTCCTGCCAGCGGCAAGCCAGAAGCCTGCGCCGGTGGCTGGAACTGAGCCAGGAGGAGCCCAGGCCTGAGGACCATGAAGCAGAGCAGCAGGTGCAGGAAGAACTGCAGGAGGTGAGACCCCAGGCAGCCCTGGGACAGCTCCCTTGGCTGTGCTTTGTCTCAGCTCAGCCTCCCGTCCCCCAGGTGGAGTTGCAGATCCAGCAGCTGGCCTCTGAGCTCCAGGCCCAACGCCAACCCATTCGTTCCTGCATCGCCCGCGTCCAGGCCCTGAGGCGGGCTCTGTGCTAGTCATTGCCCCAGGGAGGCCTCAGCCCACCTCCAAGAACAGAACGCAAAGCTGCAATGAGTTTTATCTTTTATTTCAAAATGTTGCAATTAAATGAATTACTGTTCAGAAGTCTCCCACTTTTCATACAAAAATACTGTGCTACTGATACAGTTGAAAGAGTTCAAATGGCTTCTCCTGCAGGAGAAATTCACAGCGTCCCCAGGAAACCTGAACCCTGGTCCCACTGTCGGTGGCTCCCTAAGGATGTGTACTTGTTACCTGGGGACAGGTGTGGTAGGCATGGACCCGCCCCCTCCCAATACACCAAGGCTCCTCCTCTGCTTCCAACACAAGCCCCTGAATCAACAGCAGCAACTTACCATGTTTTATGTGGGTCTGGATATGAGTGGGGGACAAGCTCTCCCCTGGCCCCCATAGGTCACCCCTGCCTGCCTGTCCATTCACTTTGGACACCGTTCAGGGGATTCAGTAACTGGTCTTGCTTACTGGAAAGAGGACTTGCCAGCTCCGGAAGGTCACTCAATGGGACCTGCTAAGCGCCATGCCATTAGACCCCCTCAGAAGACGCTGGCAGAGTCCAGGATGATGCATTCAGCCACAAGTGCAGAGAGACAGCTTTTCCCAAACAAGCAGGGTGGGATGAATTGGGAACAGAAAGCAGTTGTGTTAAAGGCCACATGGCCCTGCTCTGGGGGCAGCACAGCCCAGTCAGTGCAGGAAAGGCAGAAGGGGAGGCCAAAAAGCAGTGCTGGGGATACATAACCACTTCTGTCTTACAACAGAAATCAAGACCAACTGAACACCCAGCCAGGAGACATAGGGTCTCCAGTTTATACAGATTTAAAAAAATCTCCAAAAGGGAATTTGAGATCATCTTGGCCTACATGTTCTTTCTCTTTAGAGTGGGAAGAGGGGACCACATAGGTCCAGGGTCAACAGGGGCTCTGACCTCATCTACATCTCTGGGACAGCAGAAACTAGTCACCCAGGTCCTGCCTGGTCAGACTCCACAGCCCTGAGACCCCTCCCTGACCAGCCGCGGAGGCTCCCCTCTAAAAGACCCTCCTGTTTCTGTTTGAAAAAGCTCCCACAGTAGCCACCACCAGGAGAGAGGCTCTAGAGGGAGCCCAGAGCCTCCCCAAACCGAATCTTCTGTCCAGCTTTCAGCTTAAAGTTGAAGTCCTTGGGGGCCTCGAAGATGAGCACGATGGTAGAGCCCAGGTTGAACTCGCCCAGGTGCTCTCCCTTGCGCATGGGGATGCCCTCCTTGTTGGCATGCGTCACGAAGCTGAAGTCATTGTAGGAACCCTTGCTGTAGCGCGGGCTATTTGTGTGCAGGTCCTGTGGGAGGCCAGAGGCACAGCATGTGGAGTCTGCTCCTGGACTCGGAACATACCTCTGCTGCCTGTCCCCAATCCAGACTGGAAAGGGAGCTAGGGACAGTGACTTGATGGGCCAGGTCTAACCACAGTCCCCAGTATCAGCTGTGAACTGGGACCCAGAAAGACATAGAGGAATCAGACCCAACTCTCCTCCAGCATCCAGGGTGGGTGAGGCGCAGTCACAAGCTGACACCAAGAAAGGCAGCTCCCGGGGAAGGACAGGCAGTGGCCACCCTCTCACACGCTTAGCCTCCAAGCAGCACGCCTCACCCTGAGCTCAATGTTCTTGCTGGGTTCCCAGCAGAGGCAAAGTGCGGGCTGGGAGGTTAACCCCCTCCCTCTCTACCTCCAGACGAGCAAGTGGCAGCACATCTGGGGTTGGGGCTGGCAGAGCAGGAGCCCAGGACCCAGCCCCTCCTCAGGGCAGCTGCTCAGCAGAGCCAGGCCTAGCAGGGGCCCATCTAGAACTTACAGTCCCAATAGATCTGGCTGCATGGAAGAGGAGGTGAGGGAACTCCAAGTGGCCCAGCCCTTGGGCCTGGCTCTGCTTACCCGGTCAAAGTAGATCCGTATAGAGCCCACATTGGTGGCCCCCACGGCCGTCAGCGAGAAGAAGCCGTGTTTCCAGTCCCCGGTGAGGACCACCCGTTCATTGTGGCAAAAGAGCTCTTTGATCCAGCGGGCCATGCCGGGGTTCACGGACATCAGGGAGCCTGTGGGGGTAGGGACACTGTTATTCCCCACCCAGCAAGAAGACCAGCCTCCCAGAGTCCCATGTCCACCCGTATCATTCCAAATGCAGAGTGGGCTAGACCCCAGGCTGCACCTTGCTGCCCACATCCGGCTGGACTAAAGCAGTCACCTCCCCACCTCAGCACCCCAAATGTGGAGCCCCGGTCCCTTGACACCAAAAAGCGGGAGGCTCTGGCCAACCTGGGAAGTGGCGCCGGTGGGAAACGGTCCAGTCAGTGGGAGAATGGAAGCGGTGGTAGTCCCCGGGGGCCAGGTAGATGACACAGTGGTAGAGCTCATTGCCTTCTCGAGTGACCAGCTGGTTCCTGAAGGAGCCGCAGGGGGTAGCTGTGGGGGGCAGACACGAGGGCCAGGCTCTCAGATAAGCACCTGAGCCTGTGTAGTCTGGACGTGGGCTCCAGGGACGCCATGAAGCTCCACACAGTGATTCCTGGCCCTTCCCTCCCCAACCCATTCACGTCCTTCTCCCGGACACCCAGCCCAGCACTGCTGCAGCAGGGCCGTGGGGGCCACCACCAGGCACCAACCCACCTGGAGGGAAGGGCAGGTCCTCTGTGGAGATGCGTGGACCCAGGAACGACTCCAGCGAGTAGGTGACCCCCTTCACCTGCTCCACTTCGCAGTTCTTCACCTGCCCAAAGTTCAGGATCTTCCCATCCGATGGGCTGATCTGAAAGGGCAGAGAAAGGCTTGCCACTAAGGGAGGCAGGGGGACTCCCCCAGCCTGAGAGGAGTACCCATGGGCCACCAGTGGAGGCTGCCGGGACTGGTTCCCAAAGACACAGGTGACAATCCCGTTTCTGGAGGGAGGAGTGGAGGGCAGGATTGGGCCTCACCACGCTGTGCAGGCCACACACGGGCCGGGCCTGCGGCTTCAGCTTGCGCCGGAAGAACTCGCTGAGGTTGCGATAGTGGTGCAGGTCCTCCACGGCGGCCTCCTTCATGTTTACCCCGAAGGTCCAGATATACAGGCTGTACACAGGCCTGCGCAGCCAGTGCGGCAGCTCCACCTGGTTGAGGCGGCCCCAGGCCCGCGACAGCAGGCGCGTCGGCACTGACTTGTACAGGGCCACCTGCAGGCCACAGACAGGCAGATGAGTGGGCCGCCCTGCGCGCCCCCTGCCACCCCCCAGTCAGCCACCACCTCTGGCCACCTGGGCACCCGCGATGGCTTTGTGATGTGGTTGTTTCCTACTAGGAACCAGACCGAGCTTCCCAAATACTCTCACAGACCAAATACTGGCCGAGACTGTGACACAGTGACCTAAACTCAGTATTTCAGTCATTTTATACACAGGTCTAACAGCAACTGCCCTGGTCCCCAGGAGAGACTGGCCAGCACAGTCTCACTTCTTAAGGAAAGGAGGGGCATAAATGGCTCTGATACCTGCACAGAGACGCTGTGGCAGAAAGGGGCAGGACCCTGGGTGCAGGCGAAAGTTCACAGCCCAAAGCACACATTCTGGTCCAAACAGCGGAGGGAATATGGCCCGCACAAGGTCGGGGACTTTCATATGAGGATGCGCTGTATCACTGTCACCCCCACCCCAGCCGGCAAGCACCCCCGGACACAGCTGCGCCCTACCCAGCCTGCCTGAGCTCCGAGGCACTCTACTGTGAGAGACTGGTCCACAAAGCTGTCTGCACCTGGGGCTGCTGCCCCGAGGCACAGGGGAATCGGCCCCAGCTGTCTCTGTTGGCACCGTGGGCCAAACTCCCAGGGCCAGGCGACCTGGAGGGGGAGCGCCTCTTAAACCCCAGGTGCCGCTGCCACAGTGGGACCTGCCTCTAATTGGCAGCTGCTGCCTGTCAGCCCGACCTAGACACCAAGTCCCCGCGGTGTAAGTATAATTTCATTCCAACTTTAAACACCTCTACAGTGCACTGAGCTAATGGCTCCCCAAACTCCTCACAGCTGACGTGCCCGTCTCAGCATAGGGTGCCCTACTTGGGGTCAGCCTGCCCAGAGAGCCCAGGGCAAGGGAGCCGGCCCTCTAGGGAATGGTGGCCAGGTCGCTCCCTCATCCAGCTCTGCCTGGGCTCCCACATCCTCAAAGGCATCCACACCCTAAGGGGCCCAGACAGGCACCAGCCTTCCTGAATCACCCTCTGGCATCCTGGAATTGATTCACATTCTTCTCAAAATCACCTCTGCGCTCTCTTCTACCTGAACCCAGGGAATCAGACACCATTTTCTGAATGCCCAGTGTGGGTTCCTCTCAGAAACAGAGCCCCTAAATGGCACAAATGCAGGCAAGGAAAACAGGCGGTGCACAGCAAGCCCTCAGGGCCACCAACCAGCCTGGCCTTCCCAACCAACTCACCTGTCAAGATGACCAACCAGGGGGCTCAGCACCCACATCATCACCTCTAATCTGACAACTGTTTCCTTCTCTGTTTCCGTGTCCTGGGTCCCAACCTCAGGCCTGCGCCCAGGACGGCCGGGCCAGCAGTCTGTGCACACTTACCCTGCTCACGGGCCTCCATCCCACCCGGCTGAGCGGCCTGAGGGCACCGAAGGGCAGGAGGTAGTAGAGGACCGTCAGGGGCCAGGAGCGCAGTTTCAGGGCAGGTCTGGACATACAGCTCAACTGTCCCAGCCTCCGCCTCAGTGCCAGCTGGGGGAAGTGCAACCTGCAGAGCAGATGTCCGCGCACAGCCAGGTCAGCAGTCAGGGTCTGGGAGGCCCCACCCCACCCTCAGCAAGCTTGCCTCTCTATGGAGTCCAGCAGCACTGCCATGGTCCCTCAACACAAGCCCATTCTGAGTTGGGGGCTCAGCTGCCTCTGGTCAGCAGACTCACATCCCAGTCTCACCCACCTGCCTACCAGCTTAGGAGGACTAGGAATCAGGGGCAGCATGGGGAAGACGAGGTGCACAGCCTGCCTCACAGCCCCCAACTCCTGGGGCCAGCTCTGCCCACAGAGGCGCCAGGAAGACAGTCTGCTCTGGAGCCCCAACAGTGCAGAAGCACAGAGCAGCGGGGAGCTACGGCTACCATTGCACTGCAGGATCTGGGAAAATCTCTTCAAGGCTCTGGGCTTCTTGTTTCCTCATCAGATAAATTAAGGGATTGGGCCTGGCAAGACCCCAAAAGAAAACACCCATGAACGTGTACCTGCACACACGCACACCCCTAACAGCTACAGCTCCATCCACCTGCCTGGTCTTTCTACATCACATCAGGTTCTCCAAAACAGACCCAGAGGTTGGTGGGGGGAACCTCCCCAGAAACCCTGAGACCACCTCCCAGGTCTGCCGGGGTCACACACCTCAGCCAAACCCCTCCTTTCAACAAAGCCCAAATTCAGTGCATTCAGCACAGGCTCAGCCTTGCGGGGATCTGAGGCTGGGTGGGCCTTTTCACCAGAACCCTGGCCTCCTGAGACACAACAGGGACACCCAAGTCCCCTGGTCTCATGCCTAAGCACTAGAAAATGTTCCTGAAGCCCCAGTGCAGCCATCAGAAGACCACCTTCCCACCCGCTCTGAGAATGTCCCCAGGCCTAAGTTTCCTCATTTGCAAAAAGACTGCATTCAACTGGATAATCTGAGGCTCCCATCCACTCTCAGAGAAGCCATGTCCTCTGCCCCCAGTTGCTGAACAAACCAAGGAACAAAGAGGCATCTCAGCTGATACCAAAAAGAAAAAAATGGAGAGCCAAGCTGATGGCCGGGCACCTGCTATTCAATGATGGCAATGGAAGATGCTTCTTTCCACAGCTCACCAGACTCCCTGCGTTCATTCTCTCCCAACCCACCCCATCCCACTGTGTTTTCAAAAGGTTCAGGAAGGTAGTAGGGGCCAAACAAAGCTGAACAAACTCCTGCTGTCCCCAGGGCTTCCCCCACCCGCCCTGATCACTGCAGAAGCCCAGGGACCAATCCTAGAAGAGTGGCACCTCTCCAGAGCAGGGTGGGGAGCGCCTGGGGGTGGGGGCCTGGGAGCAGCAATTAGGGAGCAGCAGACACTAGGCCACCAGCCCGCTCCGCCTCCCCAGGTACCTGAAGCGGGCTCTCCGACTCAGGCCCCCCGGGCCGGGCCCCTCCAGCCTCGGGGGCTGATCCCCCTGCCCCCTGCCGCCACCTCCACCTCGGGGCCGCTGGACGTGAACTCTGACCTTCCGGAGGTCGTGGCGGGGCACAGTGAGGTTAGGACGCGGCCGGCAGCATCTCACCATTTCGCTGCTGGGAGCTCCGGTCCTCGCCGAGCCTCTGACTGACACATGGTGGGCGGCGCCAGGCACACTCGCCTTTGTTTCTCCTCCTTCCTCCCTTCCCCCCAGCCAGGAGCTCCTGCGCTGTCACCACTCCTCGGGCTGGACGCCTCGTGGCTGGTGGGCCGCTTCCCAGCTCAGTTGGGTCCTGTGGCTCACTGGGCGCAGCTTAGAGGTTGGGGCTATCGTGAAGACAGGCACTGGTCACACCTGCTTGGGAAGCAGTGGGGGCCTGAGGCCTCGGACACAAGCCCCTGCCCTCCACCCACTCTGTCCCCAGGCTGGGCCACCTGCCCCCTCCAGCGCAGCGAGCTAATGCCAGAGAAGGGACCAGGCGCCTGTGGGCGCAAGAAGCACAAGCTTGGAATCTGAGCCCTGTGCTCCAGGCGGGCACCCAGCGTCGGCCTGTCTGCAGCTCGAGCGGCCCCTCCCTCACCAGGACCTGACCCATTTTCCATTCAGGTGACAAAACAGCATCTGAGGAATGAGGGAGCGGGAAGACAAGAGAGACACGGTGGGTGGGGGTCAGACGCTGGAAACCTGACCTGCTCCAGCTCTCTCACCAGCCCCCCACAGCCAGGCGTCAGAGCCTCCCATCCCGGCACAGACCCCCCCAAGGCCTCCTCAGCAGATTAGCACACTCATGACGTGATCTGAGGGAATACCAACCAGGACTGAAGCCCAAACCAGCCCCTCACTCCGATCTTTGCTGTGGACAGCACTCTGGCCCTGCCTGGTGATCTGGGAGGACACGCCCACAGGCCCTCACAGATAATATGAAAGGAGAGCAAACATTCCACAGTCGTTGCTGTCTGAGCCCAGGGATAGTCAAGGACCCAACCAGCCTGGCCTCCAATCCCAACTGCAGGCTACAGAGGACAGGCACTTGCCACCATCTTTAGACGCAGAGATGCAGGCCCTGAGAGAAGCTCCCAAGGCAGAAAGCTGACCCAGCAGAGGTCAGCTGGTGGCTGGTGGGCCGCTTCCCAGCTCAGTTGGGTCCTGTGGCTCACTGGGCGCAGCTTAGAGGTTGGGGCTATCGTGAAGACAGGCACTGGTCACACCTGCTTGGGAAGCAGTGGGGGCCTGAGGCTTCGGACACAGGCCCCTGCCCTCCACCCACTCTGTCCCCAAGCTGGGCCACCTGCCTGCTCCAGAGCAGTCCCAGGCCAAATGCTGACCCCCGCACAGCCAACTGACTCACAACAGAACAAGAGGCCCCACTCAGACCCGGCTCCACCCACACAAGGGTGAATGTCTGATGCCCTGGCAAAGGCACCTCAGCCAGAGGTGAAAATGCCAGTCCCTGGCGAGTCAAATCCCTGGGAGTGTAGTGTGCAGTGGGAGCCAGCACAGGTTGAGTAACATCCGAAAGTAAGCATGGATTTCCAGCCCTGACCAAGGAAGTGGCAAGGCCTGGCCACCCCGGACCCAGACCCCTCCAGCAGAGATCATCCCCAGGCCACTCACCTGAGTGGCAGGACAGCTCACTATGGGTGGGCACCTGGTCTCAGCCAGAAGCGGATACGCACAGGAGCCTCCTCTGACCTAAGGGCCAGGCCCCGGGACCCATGGACACCACTGTGTCTATCCCTCACCCATGCTGAGCCTCCTAACTTTCCCATCTGTGACAGGTCACTTCAACTATATCACCCATGTACTGAGCACACACCCCACCCCTCCATGGCCCACCAGGCAATGGGGCCCCACAATGGCCTCCTGTCAGCTCCCCAGGCCCAAAGGGGTGACAGGCAGTCAGGACTAGGCACAGTGCTTGAAGTGCTTGACTTCTAGGACAAGGCTCTTGCCCCTACTCGAGAAAACTCAGACTGAGTGCACACCTGGGATTTCCGGTGAGGCCAGTGAGGCCTTGTGGAAGAGGATGGGGACCCCAGTCTCAACCTGCCTATTTCCCCCACTATGTTACCAGATGGGGCAGTGACCACTGCAGCATGCTGCCAGAAAGGCACATGCTGGAGCCCACAGACAAACCTAGCTAGACCCAAAACCTCAGGTCCTCAAAAACAGATTCCTGTGTATGCCTCTGCCATTTCATTTACCCCAGGGCCCCCAGTGCAGGGACTTGGCCAGGCCTCATGGCCCACCACAGTAAACTGGGCCTTCACCCTTCCTCCTGCAGTGCAGGGTGCTCAAGGGGGCCCAGTTCAAGTTGCTGCTATCCTAGACTCTAAGAAACTGCCCCCACAGGGCCAGGAGGATGTCCTGAGCCCTCAGTCCTACCTCCACCACCACTCTACCTCCTCTTCCGAAATGGGTCAGGGACCAGACTGTCAAGTTTCTTCCAAATCAACATGCATGGGCCCCAAAAGGTCCCCAGGGAGCAGACATGAATTCACCTGTCCCCAGAAAACAGGCTTGGCACCCTCTGTCTAGCTCAAAGCTGCAGGATGGAGGAAAGGGGCTCCCCTAAGGCTCATTCCTTTCTGCTTCCCAAAGGCAGAGCCACTTCCTAGGCCAACAGTGCTCCTGGCCTCCCCATTATGGTGCCCCACTTGCCCTCCATTCCTGCGATGACCCTTGGAGCCCAAGCCAAAATTTTCTTACTCTCTGGCTCCTTGGAGCCAGGCCCAGATGAGGAACCCAAAAGCAGGACTCCCTGAAGCAAGGGAAGTACAGTTACATTCCCTCTCTCCTCCATCTCAAGGACACTCTGTGGAGAAGAGTTGTGAGCTGTGACCAGTAGGAGTTTAAAGTTATCACAAGGCCTAAGGACCAGCCATACTGAACAGGGGAACTCAGAAGCTAGGCTTTGGTGGGGGAGGGGGACAATCCAGTTACTGCAATCCTGGCTGCCCTACCCTGAGAGCTGGGAGAGGCCTTGCAAGTCACAGGTGCTCTGTGGCTATCAGTTTGGCTATCTGGAAATGGGAAGGGTCACTCCTCCTGCTCACCCCCTCGAGGCTCAGATCATAGTAGCAACACTGGCCCAGAACTCTGCTCTGCTCAGAAACACCATGCCTCACTTTCACCCGAGACCTGGTGTCGTCTCATCCCCTAGACCTGACTCCCAACACCCCACCTCCGTTTCCAAACCCAAACTCTGGGAGCACCGAGGTATGCTCCCACTGGCAAGAGAGCAGGGACAGGGTGGAGTCAGTAGTTCTGAAAGAGCCCAAATCACACGGACACTTGCTGTCCCTATGAGAAGATTTGACGGCCCAACAGGACCAGGTAGGGGGTCACCTTTGTCTGGACGTGCTATTCTGGGTATTCACACCCGACCAGTGCTGCCATGTCCCCTCACAACCTGTAATGAAGGCAACAATAACCCCCTCAGTGGAATGGAACGTTCCAACTGAAGTCAGATGGACGAACCCAGGCCAGTTACCAGTTACTACAGGTGTGGGGGCAGGGAGCCATGCTCCTGACTGGTTCCCTTGGACTTTGATGGATTCAGGTTTGAGTCTGGACAAGGTCAGGAAGGCAGGGACGGAGTCAGACTGTCTGTCCCCCGCCCCCCAATAAGCTCTCCCTGAGCACCAAGGGCCTTGCAGCCAGGCACACAACCTGCCAGAGACAACCTAAGAAATTTGTTCTTGCTCCCTGAGCGGAACTCTCACTGGGTGTCAGGGTCACTCCCCCTGAAGCTGCAGCAGAAAAGCCTCAGTGTCCCCGTTTCCCCAAATTCTGTGTCCATCTGCTTGACTTTCTGGGCCCGCTTCCACCTTGGAAGGCAGGGCCACTACCCGACACCCCCAGCCCCCCACCCAGCTCACCTGAACCATGACACAAACAGCTGTGTCCAGGTGGGACCACCAACCCTTCCTCCCTGTGTTCCAGGACTAGAAGCAGACAAAACTTCAAAAACAGAGAACAGGGAAAATGGATTCTCCCCAGGTGAAACGGGTGAGCCATCTTGGGGAAGCCTTGGGCAAGAGAAGAGGAAGGAAAGAGAAGGACCCAGAGATACTTCTTTCAAGCCAGCAGCCAGGGAAGGGTGGTTGGAGGTGGGGACAGTCCTCCCCGCAGCACGGGACTTCTAAGAAATTTAAGAATCCCAGAAAGGAAAAGAACCTTCCTTTGGGGATAGGGCTCTGTGAAGGGCAGCTTGTCACCCCCCTCTCTGCCCCTCAGGTGAGACCCTGAGGACACCTACAGGTCCCACTGAGAACAGGGCAGCTTTCTTCCCTAACTGGCTCCAGTCACTGAGGAAATCTTTCCGAGCAAAAGGGGACTTGGAGCCCCAGCATTTTCCCTTTCCCGGCCGGCTGAGGGCCAGGAGATGCTGCCCGGCCTGGCGGAAGTGAGCTCATCCAGGACAGCCCGTGACCCACCATGTGGGCAGGAGAAGCCCGTGAAGGGATGAAGACTGTGGGGTGGGCTCTCCAGCCCAGGGCCCCGCAGCTCCAAGGGGCGACCGGCACCCAGGGCGGCCCCACTACGGGCTCCGCTCACTCACCGGCAGGTAGTCCGGTCTCGCTGGGTGTCAGGCGCCGACGCCCAAGGAGGCGCCACTCGGAAAGGAAGCCCCGGCAGGCAGGCGGGGGCTCGGCTCTGGCCACTCGGACCACCCAGGGCGGGGATGGAGGGCGGACACCAGAAGCAGTCA